TGATAAGACTTCTGAGAATACCTGGTATGTTGTCATAAGGCTGCTTCTTTTATCTTGTGAATATTCTTGTATTTTAAAAGCCATAAGAATATTCTGGTTTAGTATATTAAACTTAATATATTTTAATAATTTTCTTGGTATGCCATACGTACACACACATACACACACAAGGTATGCATTTATTTGTATACTTTTGTTCATTATAAGAGTATAGGATCATTTTAATCAAACAACATGCATTTGAATACATATAGACATTGGATCAACCAGTTTTTAAAGTTGGAAATTAATTTAAAATAGTTTTTAAAGCCTAGGGGGAAAGTCATTTGCCTAATTCTGAAAAGATAACAATATAGTCATCTAGCAAGTCTTGTAGAAGGAATTCCACAGTAACAAATGTTCTTTCTCCAGTCATCACCCACCCAATATCTGTCAGAAAGCACACAAAGAAAAGCACTTGTAGGTTGATTGGCAGGTTGGCTTCTTTCAACAAGAGTGAGATTTATTATCAATTAATTATTGCAGCTTACTCTTGTAATTCTACATTTTTCTAATGTGCTTTGAGGAAAGGATTTTCCCCTTCAAGGGAAACTATGACTAGACCATCCCTTTCTAGCCTGAGCTAGTAAAAGAAACCTCACTGAAATATTTCCCACAACAAGATAGTTGTATCTCTATAGCAAACCTGACTCTAAGAATAAGAATATTTGCAAATTGAAAATCTTATTTTGGACCCTAAGCAAAGTGAATACATTTTCTGAAAACCAGAGGTAGTCAAACTGAATATAGAAAGACTTGTAAAAGATAGAATATAGAATAATAGATTTGGAAGGGACCTTGGAGGTCTTCTAGTCCAACTTCCTGCTTAAGCAGGAGACCCTATACCAGGGGTAGGCAACCTTGGCTCTTTTATGATTCGTGGACTTCAACTCCCAGAATTCCTGAGCTGGCTCAGGAATTCTGGGAGTTGAAGTCCACAAGTCATAAAAGAGCCAAGGTTGCCTACCCTGGCCCTATACCACATCAGACAAATGGTTGTCCAGTCTCTTAATGGTCTTTGAAGACACTTGATTTCTGCTGACCATAAGTCCCTGCTTTGACTTCTTTTAGGTATCTCTTTTTTATTAGTAAGTTAAGTAAAACTTTATTAATAACTTAGTACAGGTGTCCTCAACCCCCGGTCTGTAGACCGGTACTGGTCCACGGCATGCCAGCAAGCGGTCCACACAAACAAGCAAAGCTCCGACTGCGGGATGCAGGCAGCACACGAAACCATGCCCCCTCCGATCCGTGGAAAAACCTTTCTCCACGTAACCACTCCCTGCTGCCCAAAAGGTTGGGGACCTCTGCCTTAGTAGAATGAAAGAATGCGTGCATTACTGTGATTACAATATGTGTTTCTTTACTTGAAACTTTGATCATGGGGTAGCTCTATTAGTGGAACTAGACTGAACTTTTCTCCAGAACTTTCTAAATTCAGAATTAGCTCTATAAAAATATTCTCAAGATGACATTTAAACTTCTGGATATTGAGGCTGGATTTATTTAATTTGTTTTAGATATCATTTAACCTTACATTTTCAGAACCATAAATCTTCTGTTTAGTGGTAAATCCAATTATGAACTCGTCAGGACTGTGACTGTTTACAAAGAGTGATTAATCATACATACCATGTGGAAGAAATAAGCAACTTCTGTGAAAGTAATCTCAGCATAAACTACTGGCAGCTTCGTGGGCCAGCTGTGTGGATAATAAAGAATGAAGCACCCTGGGTTAAAGAGAGAAGAAGAAACATGGCCCACATTGACAAATTACTGTGATCATTTCTAAATTATAATTTGAGGTTAATTTTAATCATCCAGGGAATGGGTGCAGTCCACTGAATATTAATAGATGCTCTGCTAGTTCTCTGAAATGTAATATATATGCATTTGGTAATAGAAGTGTACTGAGTTTCATTAGGCAATAAACCTTTGTTCCAAATTTAAGTTTGGGAACCTTTTTGTGATTGTACAAGTTACGTTTAATAGACTCAAAGCAAAAAATTTTTCAGGAAGAAATCGAAAGACCTGATGTCATCCCGATCTGTTGACCAACTTATGTTAACAGAGTCAAAATACTTACACTGTATATGATTGTTGTCCGATATAACTGGAGATCATCAGACTGCATTACAGTACACACAACCAACAAAAGATCTCTTCTCCCAGTGTAAACTTGCTGGGTGTACCTAAAGGGGTAGCAGCTCTGTGCAAAAAACCCCAGTCTGAGATATTAGGAAAGATGGTCCTGTTGTCAAAAGGTAGTTCTGATCTAACTTAATTCTGCTGTTATTTTATGTTTTATATATTCAAGTTTTAATATCAGCTTTTAGGTTACATATGGAAGCCATTCAAAACATAAAACCAGTTTCTTTCTGTGTCAGTTTTTTAAAGTTCACTTTAAGGACAATTCCCACTTGTTTTTCAAATATATGGAAATTCATATTTACAGTATACAGATTTTCTTCTGTGATATGCCCTTGATAGTGTCTTCTTGAAATAAGTGTTTTTTATGCATTTTAACTCCAAAGACCATTTTAGCATGCTTTTTTCAGCTGAGAATATTTAAAGAATTCTGTACCAGTTAATTAGAACTGAAGAAGCTTCTTGGATGAAAAGCAAAATGTTTTCAAAGGAAAAAAACAAGAAACTAGCTATAGCAATAGTACGTAGACTTATATACCGCTTCACAATGCTTTAAAACCCTCTCTAAGCGGTTTACAGAGTCAGCATATTGTCCCCGACAATCTAGATCCTCATTTTACTGACCTCGGAAGGATGGAAGGATGAGTCAACCTTTAGCCGGTGAGAAACGAACTGCCGGCAGTCGGCAGAATTAGCCTGCAGTACTGCATTCTAACCACTGTGCCTCTTTCAAAAGGTAAAATATAGTTGCCTTTGGGACAACTATGACCTGGATGATTGAGAATCTCCATAGACACTATCTAAATGTGGGGGTCCTTGGTGCTCTCTGAGCTTGGTTGTTTACTTGCAGACATTTCATTACCTAAACTAGGTATCATCATCAGTGCTTGTAAGGAGTAGGGTTTGCTCTCAGTTTATAGTCTAGTGGGCAAACCCACTAAACTGAGAGAGCACCAAGGGCCCCTCATTTCAACCCTGAGCTACAAATATTCTCCTTTACTGGTACTATATCTAAATAAATGTTTTAAAACAGTTAGTTATATTCCAATCCATAGGTTTATCCAGAATTTATACATTTCGTTGATTAAAAATACCCAAACAATATTCTCCATCATCTCTACTCTCTAGTAGCCACAGAAAGCTAATTGATTAGCACATCTACTCCTCTCATAATGTAGTTCTTATTTCCTGCTCATCATTTAGAAAGCTACTGCTGTCACTTCCTCTAAAAACCTGGCATGATTAAACTTTCACATGAAGAAATTGTGAAGACTTTGTCATAGGGTTTTATGCACCAGTGTACAAACTGTAGACCGAGTGATGGTATCTCTAAAAATGATTTTTGCTTGTGGCATATTTTGGAGACATTCTTTGCTGCAACCATGGCTATTGTTCATTTCAAGTAGAAGTGATAGAAAATGCTGATCTTTAAGCAGAAGGGCTGCATGAATTAGTTAGCCACCCATGATTCAAAATAAAGCTCAAGTTAAGGAGATTAAGATGTTGAGCAAAATTCTCAAGAGACCTTCATTGAAGGGATGAGATTAAAATGGAGAAGTTTGAATTCAGATTTTGAACTTCTAGGTCATTTAATCTAAACAATTGCTTGAGAGATATTAGGAACAGCCCAAAGAAAATATTTGATCTTTTCCAGCTGTTTCAATGGTGAAAGAAAAAATATTAATCTGATGATGGGTAAAATTCAGAAAATTTCATTACTGCAAAGAACAGTCCAGCTAGGATCATTATTATGGCATGGATGGAATGTTCGTGAGCAGGGTGTCTTATCTTATGGCAAATGATTGGTCTAAATAAGTTGTGACAGAGGGGTCTTTGTTGGTTGTGAATTTAAGTAATAAGGGATTTGAAATTCAAAATTTGCCTGGCTGCTTTGAATCTGTGAATCCAGTCTCTTTCTACCTCTTTCCAATTATTTCATTCTTTTTGAAAGATTTTATTGCAAAGGCAAAAGGGATTAAATGCAAAAGTGCTACATAGAATGCTTCACACCTTTTAAAAACACATTAAAGGTGCCTTACAAGGATAAGCCATTGGACTTCCTGCAATACCTTTTTCTGCAACTTAGCTCCCTGTCTCAGATTCCTCTGCTTTCACTTATGACAATGAAATACACTATGTTCTAACTACTTAGCTGATTGAAAAGTTGTCCTGTTCCATCTCGGAATCAGTTATGTTTTAGCTCACTGTAAAGAATTCAGGTCTATTGATTGGAGTTGACTCTGCAGGTGGCATATTTTAGATTTCATGATTGTAACATATGTACAATTGAATCTTTGGCCACTGGCTTGGAATGAAACATGGGCTGATTCCAGTTCTGAGTTCTTATTTGTCAGAGACAAGGAGTAAGGCTAATAGAGCTAAAGTTCTGGAATCCATTCCTAATTATTATTCCAGTATATATTTCCTCTTTTATTTTTAAGCCCTTAATTGAGTCTCCCAGATGAGTGGCATGATGGCCTAGAGGTGAAGGTGCTCGCTTCCCACTTGGAAGGTTGAGAGTTCAACCCTAGGCAGCAACAGATGTTTCTCTATCAGGGCACAAAGAGAAAAATATCTGCTACAAACTCTACGTAGGTGTCGTGTCAGGAAGGGCATCCATTCAATTGCCTCAACTCCACCCCAATAAAAGGGATTATAGGGTCATAAAAAGAAAAAAAAAAGAGTCTTCCAAATAAGCTCTTTGGTAGTGAGGAAATGGTAATATTGACAAAATAGAACATGTGGGTACTTCTGAAATTTCCCATTTTTTAAAAAAAGATGTAATTTAATTCCAGTCTGCATTTTGTCCACAGCCCAACGCTCTGCTCATGAACTTCCAATGGTTGAAAGACAAGATATGGACACCTGCCTTGTATATGGTGGACAGCAAATGATTTTAACCGGACAGAATTTTACAGCAGAATCCAAAGTCATCTTCACAGAGAAGACACCAGGTATGGCATTCTTTTCATTCTTTCTCTCGTGTGGCTGATTAAGGAAAACCATGCCTTGAAGGACCCAGTCTTAAAAATAATATTAAAATAGGGCCAGCAATAAGGAAGCTCTTTTATTATAATTCTTTTCACAAAGGCAGTCAGGAAGAAACAGTGAGCCAGTACAATAGCTTAGTACCCCATTTTTAGCATCAAGCAACTAAACCTGAACAAAGAGGATGGTGATTTTCAACTGGAATCTGAATGATCATCTATTGAAGTTAGTATAGGGAATCCTGCTGATTTGATGACCTTATAGATCACTTCCAGCTCTATAATTCTAAGAGGTGGAAATTGTCCTTGGTGTCCTCTCAGCCTCCCACAACTTGTTAGCTAAATAAAGGTAAAGACTCCCTCAGGTTGAGTTCAGTTACTGATGACTACAGTATATGAGCATATCCACAACTTCCATAACCAAATGGAAGTATACAGTTTGCTATTGCATTCAGTTTTTACTTTCTAGTGTTGCCTAGAGTCTTGAGATTTTCATAATGGCTCCTGTCTCAATTACTAATTCTGCCCACTGTGTTTTGAAGTTCTTCAAGATATGCTAGAATGCTACCACTTGCTAGCCTTCTCGTCCTGGCAAACTCTAGCTCCGTGTCAAAGTCAGAAATAAATTCTACCAAAAGCTGACTCAGTACCTTTCAGGTTTGTTTCTTCCTTTCTCCCAAATACAAACATTCTACCCACAACCTGGAGTCCTCCCTGGGAGGTAGATTAGGCTATTGTTTCTCAATCTGGTGTCCACCAGTTTTGGAAATACTGCAGTCCAACTAACACTGTCATCCATGTTGGCCAGTTATTTTGGAAACAGTAATTCCAGCACCTCTGGAGTACATTACATTGGGATATGTTTAGTTTGGCAGATTTCTGTTGTTGTGCACAAAGGGTATTAATCTGTGGCAGGGAATGTCTATTGAGGGAAGTTCATTGTATGCAGTTTGTGAGGATATTGGAATCACTTCCCCATTCTTCTTCAGGTTGTCCAGCTCAGATAAATAATTCTGAAAGAAAACATTGGGTTACTAGTAATCTCATTTTACAGCATATGATATACGGCAATCTTTCCAAAGGCTGAATGCATCAATTTGTCATCACTTACCAAAGAAAATTGGTTATTGTAGTAAAAACACATATAGAAGATGGCAGTCTGAGGTGGATGTTAAAACTGTACATTCAGTAGTATACTTACATGGTAATCCCTCACGGAACTCTTTGCAAGAATTTCCTCCAAATGAACCTTTTACTCCCAAATGAGACTTTTGAGGTAGAACTATTTCAAGAATTTTAATGTGCTATGCATGAGTCAGAAAAAGGGATTGTTAATCAGAAACTGGGAAACTAGAACAAAGAAATGGAATTGTGACTAAGAACAATAGCTGATTTGCTTTGATGATAGGTCAGTTTAAATGAATTTTCACTGAGATATATGTGCAAATGGGTCATGTGTTCTTGTTCCTACTAACAGCAGCCTCTCCAAGGAGGTCAAAATCTGCAAGATGACTAGGGCTGCATTAAGGGGTTGAAGGCCTTCCTTTTTTGTATGCATGTATAAAACCTGAGGCAGCACTTCAACTGAATGACAAGTCTGCCATCTTGCAGATCCAGACAACCCACTTTTGTCAACACCATGATCATGGATTGACTGATTATGTGTCATCAAGTCGATGCTAACTCTAACTGACCACATAGCTACATTTCCTGCAGGATGATAACCAGAGCTCAACAATATTCAGAACGTTCCACTTTTACCAGTACTGCAGTACAAGAGGGGAAATTTTTTTTTGTTGAACCTATGGCTTTGCAGTGGAAAAAAAACAAAATCAGAAGTATAGTGCAAATGCTGTATTCATAATTAAATGTACTAAATATTTAGTTAGACATGCATATGATCAGTCATCGTATGACAAAAACTATGGGCATTTAAGAAGAGTTAATCAGTGATATTACTACCCTTAAGTAATAAAATAGACCTTTATTTTATGTACATTTCTGTTTTGGAAATGATATAAATCTTTGGTCCTGCTGGATCAGGCCAAGATCAATTTTAGTCTGGTACTTAATTTCTCACAGTGATCACTGATGCTTTTGGGGTATTCAAAGCTGTTACAGTGTAACAGAAGAGCAACTTATCATTTCTTGGAAGTGTCTTCTGCCCAATTGCAGCCAAGTATAAGTGAAAACATTGCTCCCAATTTGAACAAGTTCCCTGATAACATTAATGGAGAGGGGGGTAAGTCGGGAATAAGGACACAGATACAATATTAAATTTCCAGTAGATAAATAGAAGCTCCAACTCTGACACCATGTCATATTTTTTCACAGTAAGGCACGGCACAAACTAAGATTGTAAAGACTACATTTGTTAAAGAGAGGAAAGAGGGAGGAAGTGCAGAATGGAAGTCAAGACTAGGGCCCAGCCACTGCAATTTATGTGTGTTGTGTATTTTCAGATCAAGTTTAATTTCTTGCAACTGCTTGGACAAGTCCATGCATTTTTCTTGGCAACATTTTCAGAAGTATTTTTCCATTGTCTTCTTTCTAGAGCTGATTGGCCCAAAGTCATCCAGCTGGTTTTGTGCTTTAAAAAGCTAAAACTCCCACTCTCCTAGTTTCTGGTCTAGTGCCTTAACCACTACACCAAACTGGCTTGCTGAATAGTTTATTCATGATTGCTATGTCAGATGATTTTCTTTTTGTTGTAGTTGTTTTTCCTTTGCTCGGCTTAATTCTGTAATCTAATTACAGTATCATGAAGTGAATACCACTCAGAGTTGTATTTGGTTGGAATAGCATATCAGGCCGACAAATAAATATACAATTTCCTTTGTTTTGAAGACTGCTCTTTCAAATGAAACTATTCAGATCTAAAGAGCAGCTCTTCTGAACGTTGTTCCCTTTCATTTATGCGATATTATTTTTTCTGTTTATTACTATTTTACTAGGCTCACATCTTATTGTACGTTACGATGATTGCAGATTAATTTTGGAATTCCAAATGTCCACTTTACTTTGGAGTTAAGGCTTTGAAAGGCTTGCTTTAACAGCCTTTCCACCCATATGCAGCAGCTGCAGACTGTGTCTGCATTCAAATACAGAAAAATGTACAGAAAAATGTACAGAAAAATTGTAAATTTATCTATGGGAACTTATGCATAAGTTTGTAATCAGGCTTCAACTTGTATATTTTGTACATAATGTTAATGAATAGCTCAAAGGATAACAACACTGCCGTAAGATCTTGGAGCAAGGGCTACATACTGTAGCTTCCTTGGTGAGGCTGTCAGTTATTTCCCTGATTGTTGATTCTAGGAAAAGACTTGCACTTTTATAAAAAGGAAATAGCAAAAAGAGAAGAAAAGCACACCAGCAGTTGGAAAGGAAAGTGTGCTCCCTTATCTATCCATTTCACTTGGATGACTCATGGGGAATGGAGACAGCCAGAAGCAGCTTTCAAAGCAGCATCATGAGCCCTACATATGATGTGACTGCTTTAATGGTTTGGAAAAAAAAAGTGCTTTGTATAAGTTGTAGTGCATGACAAGGCTCCTATTTTCAGATATTTTACAAAGTTCTAACTGTAACCATAAGTCATAGCACTGTTAAGTGTGTGCAGCTGAGGTGGGGGGAGAGGTACTCATTAGTATGATGGAAATAGGAGAGTTAAGCTTCTTCTCAACTTCATGCAATTAATCTACTCAACATCTTAGGCTCCCTGAGATTGTTATTTTGAGACAGAGCTAAGGGAACCAGCCAAGTTTTTAATTTCCATAGCTAGCACAAAACTATTCCTCTCCCCCAATCAAACACAGCTTTTCCACAGCTTTGGACAGAAAGGTATGACAGATACCCCACTCTAATTTTGTACCCATGCCTTCCAATTCAAAAATACTCTCACAATTTAGATCAGCAGTTTAGGCTATCACTTCCAACCTCCCTGTCTAATTAGAGAGAAAGTCAAGCCACTTGTCTGCATCATCTGGATCTCAACCTGAAAGTCATGTAGGTGGTAAATTGCAATACATTGAGTCTGGGCCATGAAAATAACTGACCTTCGCTATGTTGGCTTGACTACACTACATATTAATGAGATCAGCACGCAGTTTATAAAAAGACCCAGTCATTCTAAACCTGGCACAGGAAATGGTGGAAGGAAGTGAACTCTGGGGGAATGGGAGTTTGCAAATTTGTGCTTTAGCGGCATCTGAATAAAGCTCTTGTGTTTAAAAAAACCCAATGTATGCAATCCACATGTAGTATGTGTGTGCTTTGCACCATCTGTGGATGATGCATAGTAAGTGGAATGTAAATTGCACTCACTTAAATGAACCTTGTGGTGTTTGAGTTCCTTATGTACCCACTCCCCTAAGCAATGATGGTGATAGGACTAGCAACAATTTCTGGGAAAGGAATGTTAGTAATATGCAGTGGGGTGGTTAAGTAGATGAGTAAAACTGGGAATATGTAAGTTGAAGGCCACTCTTAGCATGGAAGCACAGGGTACTTTGGGGCAAATCATCCCTCTCAGCCCAGCATACCTCACTATTTTTTTTAATGGGGATAAAATAAAGGGAGGTTTCCACATAAATGATCTTGAGCTTTTTTAGGAAAGGCCAGATAATGCACATAATAAATAAATACTTGAATTCTTAAGTTTCTACAACTCTTGAAGAGAATGCAGTCTGGAATGATGCTTAAAGTTGTTTGGTTTTTATTATCCCTTTCATCTATTGAGCCTTTAGCTAACAATTAAAAATATCTGCCATTGGAATCTTTGGTGCTCTTTGAGTTTTTTTGTAGACATTTCATTACCCAACTAGGTTATAATCTTTAGTGCTAGTGAGTGTGGGCTTTACTTTTTGTTTATATGCAGTAGCTTGCCCTGTCAGCAGGGTTGTTGTTTTATCCTTGGTAGTTTCTTGATTAAGACAATGTTTGCTGCTTGATTGTTTATTTGG